GGCTACTGTCAGATTTCAGGTGTTGATTTTACAGATGTGTTCTCACTAGTTGTGAAGCATAGTTCCATTCGGGCTTTACTTGGAACGGTGGCTAAGAATGATTTGGAGTTTGAGCAAACGGATGTCAAGACAATATTCTTACATGGAGAACTTGAGGAGAGAATCTATATACAACAACCAGAGGGGTTCATAGCTTCAGATAAGAAAGACTATGTGTGCTTGTTAAAGAAATCCTTGTATGGATTAAAACAGTTACCGAAGCAGTGGTATAAGAGATTTGATTCATTCATATCTACTCATGGTTTTGATAGATGTAATTATGATAGTTGTGTGTACTTCAGAAAGGAAAGTGGTAGATCAACTACATATTTGTCATTTTATATTGATGAAATGCTCATAGCAGGTATGGATAAAGCAGATGTCAGAAAAAGAAAATTACAACTCAGCAAGGAGTTTGACATGAAAGATTTGGGTGCAGCGAAGAAGATTATTGGAATGGAGATCTTAAGGGATAGAAAGGTTCACATATTGTATTTGAGTCAGAAGGAGTACATTGAAAAGGTACTTGAAAGATTCAATATAGTGAAAGTTAAGGTCATCGTACTTCTTTGGCTGCCTACTTCAAATTATCATCTAACTTGTGTCCACAATCAGATGAAAAAATAGATTATATGTTTCGAGTTCCTTACTCCACTGCAGTTGGTTCGCTCATGTATACTATGGTTTGTATAAGACCTGATTTAGTACATGCAGTTAGTATAGTTAGCAGATATATGGCTAATCCTGACAAGGAACGTTGGAAAGCAGTGCAATGAATCTTCAGATACTTGAGGGGCTTTTCAAATGCTTGTTTGCATTTTGGATCTTCAGATACTTGAGTCATGAGTTATGTGGATTCATATTAAGTAGGGGATCTTGATAAGAGGAGATCGCTTACAGGGTATGTGTTTACTCTTGGAGGCTGTGCTATTAGATGGAAAGCAACTTTGCAAATTACAGTAGCTTTGTCTACAACAGAAGCAGAATACATGTCTATTACAGAGGCATGTAAGAAGGCTATGTAGCTAAGATGATTAATTGATGAAATCAGTGAAAACTTGCAGATATCTATAGTATTATGTGATAGTGCAATTTTCTTGACTAAGGATCAGATGTTTCATGAGAGAACTAAGCACATTGATATGAAGTATCATTTTGTGCGTGATGTGATTGCTCGTGGTGATATTGTAGTGAGCAAGGTTGATACCAAGGATAATCCTACTAATATGTTGATAAGACCACTTCTTGTTTCTAAGTTTAAGCATTGCTTGAGCTTAATTGGTATTTGTCATTGATTTAGTCAATTGGGGTTTGTTTGGAAGAAGAAAAATTATGTTTGCTTGAAGATGTGTTTTAATTCCTTGTGATGGAATTTGGCTCAAGGTGGAGATTTGTTGTGGTGTGATCCAAATTACATGTGATTTGGTATTTGGTTGATTAGAAGAAGTCTAAGGTATTTGAGCTTGTAGAGTTCTAAGTTGTGGAGATCAAATTTCAATGATAATTAGGAGTTTCACTTGAAGGAGGACTCTTGGATCGTTAAAGGCATGTTTTGGAGCATCAAACCCGAGAGAGTGGAGCTACAACGCCAAGGAGTGGCGCCGCAGTGCGAAGAAGAGAGAACGGGGCAGCAGCACCGACGTCGCGGTGCTCGCAGGGGGCTGCTGGGCGCCCCGATAAGCGTAATTCTACGCGGTTTCCTGGTTTTATTCGGATTTGGGACTTCTTCTCCATCTTGGACTCCAATAATTAATTCCTTGTGATGGAATTTGGCTCAAGGTGGAGATTTGTTGTGGTGTGATCCAAATTACATGTGATTTGGTATTTGGTTGATTGGAAGAAGTCTAAGGTATTTGAGCTTGTAGAGTTCTAAGTTGTGGAGATCAAATTTCAATGATAATTAGGAGTTTCACTTGAAGGAGGACTCTTGGATCGTTAAAGACATGTTTTGGAGCATCAAACCCGAGAGAGTGGCGCTACAGCGCCAAAGAGTGGCGCCGCAGTGCGAAGAAGAGAGAACGGGGCAGCAGCCCCGACGTCGCGGTGCTCGCAGGGGGCTGCTGGGCGTCCCGATAAGCGTAATTCTACGCGGTTTCCTGATTTTATTCGGATTTTGGGACTTCTTCTCCATCTTGGACTCCAATAATATGTTTTATAGATATAGCCACATTGTATCTACATATTATAACATTCATATACTATTCTTTACATCTTCAACAACATATTGAGAGATTGAAAGTTTAGATTTCAGTTGAAATTATTGAAATCTTGATATTGTAAACACGAACATAAATTCTTGTGTTCTTGTTTTCTTTTTCTTTATTTCATTATCGTCATTATCTTGCGATCCGTTTCATAACACATTGATTAATATTTTACATATTTATGTAATATTTTAGATTTCATCCTTTCTAATGTGCCGCCTTAAACGTTTATTGTTAAAAAAACAATATCAAAATGTTCTTGCACTTGGAAGTTAGAAAAACATTGAATTATACACAATGTACAACGAGAAACTACAAGGAAACACACCATTCAGCAGCCTTGCGGAAGATAATTAACAATTTAACCGATCAAATTATTATCTATTAGTTGCTTGACTAACTCTATATATTGGAATGGATAAAGAGTAATGTGTCGTGGCAATCCCTCAAGAGGTGAAGAATAAAGATTATTTTGAATCAGACTGCTCCTCCCTCTATGCATAGAGATAGAAATACGTAAAATTTGGTATATTCAAAATCTAGAATATGAGAAGAAAAGAAAGCGATGTGATTCCATTTGTTTATAGTGCCCAAGATTGAGATATGATTGCATTTCTACCTATGATTTCAATTTAGTCAATATACTATATTATTTAATAAATTAATCACTAAATTTTAATTTTTCTTTCACTTTATGTATTCCATTTTTAAGAAGATTCTGTATAATTCTTTATTTAAATTTTTTATCGTTGTTTCTGCTCATTGATCCTTGACCTTTTATATTTTTCACATCAATAGCTAGACAATTTTTAAAACAGGTTTAAAGATCATTCTCGATCTAATCATCCAAATAACATTGGACTATTGCTTAACCTTTATTATTGCATTTTTGTTACACTAAATAATGAAATAAAATGCAAGCATAATGAATTCATTCTCCGTGACAATAGAGATATCTAGAAAATTACAATATTGGATGATGGTTGTGGAAAAATAAGGCATTGATTCTTACTGGTTAGACAAAGCAACCTACATGACTAACATTATGAATTTCATGCAATTAAATCTTATAATATAAATTATTTTGGAATGTGAAGCACGTTTCTGTGAATTCGGGTCCTAAACTCCAATCAAATCCTATTAAAAGCTCAAAATTTGCCTGGTAACCATCTCGAGCTTATCATTTAAAGGGAAAACCTAAAATAATTTATAATGAAATATAGAAAAAATGATGGAGTTTTTTTGGCACATTCACAAAGTTAACAATTAATTTTAACCATATATTTCATGGGACAAACAACTTTTTAATTATACATTTTATCAACTTTTATCAAAATTTACAAAATTTTTGATTTTAATCTTCACCAAATTGGGACAAAATAAACTGACAATGTTAACTCATTTGAGGATACTAATCTTGGAATCTTATTGCTCATAGGAATGAGTTATTTAGCCTGTGTTTGATTCAAAAAAATTAAAGAGAAGAAGAAGAAGAAGAAAAAGTTTTGAATAGTATTTTTAGAAGATTGTGTGGTTAAAAAGTAGAGAAAAATTGTGATTACATGTATAATATTTTTTTTTTGTGAATGTGTAGTTGAAAATGATCACGTAACAGAAATTGAAATAATTGAAGGGTGTAAAACAAGAGCTTAAATCTTTTCGTTCTTGTTAAGAAAGATCATTCAAATTTATATATGTTTATTATTTTTTCATATTTAAAAGATATTTGAAATTTGACCACTCTTAATTCATTTTTTTAGTGTCACCTTAAAAACGTGTTGTTTTAAATAGGTAGTGGAAATTATTAAACAATAATATTTAAAGAAAATTTTTGCATATAAAGTTAGACAAAACATTATAAAGAAAAACATGGTATGTAATCAAAACTTGGAACAATGCACACATGTACAATAAGAAAGTACGAGGAAACACACCGTTCAGCAGCCTTGGGGAGTAATTAACAGTATGCTTGACGTGAGAATTTCAAACAAGCATACAAAATAACTTGATTGGGGGCATATATTTAAAAATTAATGTACTTAACTGAAGGTCAAATGTGTTTGTTGAACATTGATGGTTCTGGATAACACAGTTGATATTTGAAAAAAATAGAATACAAAATTTATAAAACAACTGAAGTTAAAGACAGCAAGCTTCAACAGCAGAGGTAAGTGATGATCTATGCTCCAAAATTTCAATTAGTGTATTGGCAAAAATTCGACATATTTTTAGTGAACTAGTAGAATAGTAACTAACTTGATTGTGTAATTGATGTTTAAAGGATTTGTCTGACCAATGATGTGAAAAGAAAAAGGATCAAAGGTGAATGAGTCGAAACAGTTTCGACTCATTCACCTTTGATCTTTTACCCTTTCGCATCAATGGTAAGACAAGACTTTTAAACATCAATTCAGACAATCAAGTTAGTTAATATTCTAGTAGTTCGTTAAAATTAGGTCGAATTTTTACCATTGCACTAATTGTACTGTTGGAGCTTATATCACCACAATCAAGTTCATTACAATATAACTATTTTACAAATCTTATATTTTTATTTTCAAATACACAATGTTGAACAGAACCATCAATGAATTTCAATTTCAAGAAAAAAACATTTGACGTTTTGTTAACTACATTTATCTTTATATATATGCCCTCAACCAAGTTATTTCACATGCTCATCTCAAGCATATTGTTGGCTTGGTACATAGTTCCATATTCATCTCTCTCTATCTATCTATCAAAACTATTTTATTAATGGAGAATCATTCAACACTGTTCTTTGGCTCATCTATAACGCCATTCGCCTTCACTCTTTCTCCAAACTTGGAAAATTCTCATCAGATGCATATTTTGTCCAATAAGAATGAACCCAACAAGGAAATCCGTTTCCGAATAGTACGAGTAAAAGAAGTTTCACAAAAGAATAAATTTATACAGATAGATCAAAATAAGATGAAGAAATCTGGAAAGAAAACTGTAGAAAATAGAAAGCCCAGATTTGCGTTTCAAACAAGAAGTCCAGTTGATATACTTGATGATGGATACCGCTGGAGAAAATATGGTATGAAAGTAGTCGAGAAAAATACGTTTCCAAGGTATTTATATACTTATTTAATTTTTTCATCGAATTTTTTTGATCTTGGTCAATCTAATAATCCTAGTTTAGGGTTTAGGGGCGTTCAAATCTTCATCAAAATCTTTTTTTTTTAATTGTCTGTATAAACTAATATTTTTATATTTCTATGGCTTGAGATGTGGGAATAATCGAAATCCCATATGGAATGGGATTTTCGTTTCTCAAATGTAAGAGGAGAGCTGTCTATTCTTGATGTAGTGGAATTGGTTTGAATTCCACGTTAAATAGAGACTAAAAGGATCGATCCCCTTTTTGCTCAAATAAACAGAACTTTCTGCTTTGTGTTTATCAATCCCAATTTGAGCGATAGTCGAGACTTCGAATTTTCTTATACAATACAAGTTTTGGAGTTTTTCACTGTATGGAGTTTGAGTATTTATTATTGTTTCATATTCTCACATTTCAAATATCAGTGAAATTTTCTTGTCGGCTCTACCCAATTGTCGAACCATCTCTGTGTTCTTTATCCCTATCATATTTCACCTAATTTCAATATCATGAACATGTTTGAAACACTTGAGCTGATTAGTATTTTCAGTTGATTCATGGCAATTTTACATTGGAATCATGTTGCATAGGTATAATACACCATAACACTATCAAGGCAAAATATTAATGGAGGAGAAAGCAGACTAACATTGCGTGCACAATGTGTGAAACAATATATTGAAATAAATATGTTCTATCTAAGAAAATTTATCTTTTATATATGATGGTTAAATCCTAAAGAATTCTTTCCAAAAAGTTAAGAGAACTCTAAAAGCTCAAAACACTATACAAAAGGGTGCATTTTAGAGTCCTAATAAAAATCCAAGGTATTTATACGACTAAACTAAATGTATAAATTAAAACTTTTGTTTACATTCTATTTGTTATTGCCACTTAATTGATATCAATTAATCAGTGCTAAAAGAGTAAGTATACTCTTTTATTCAATTGTATGTTTTTCCTTGCAGAAGCTATTATCGATGTACGCATGAGGAATGCAATGTTAAGAAGCAAGTACAACGACAATCCAAAGACGAAGGCATTGTTGTGACAACTTATGAAGGATTGCACACTCATCCAATACAGAAACCTAGTGAAAATTTTGAACAAATTCTTAAACAGTTGCAAACTTATCTTCTTAACTAATTAATAATGATGTCCTGATCAAGAATAAGTTCAATGAATTATGAGTCAGGAACATAAACACTATAATATGTAGTGGATACTAGGAACCGACTACATATGCTGAGTTTATTTTGTTAGTTGTAATTGGGGTTTTGTTGGAAAATAGTTTGTAAAATTGATTTTTATCAAATTTTGACCAAATATTTCGATGGTTCCCGCTATTTGAATTTGGCAAGAAATTGATTGATCATGTTCTACTCGTGGATTAGATGAATTTAGTACATTTGGATGTTGAAACTATTTTCGGACGAGTGAGAAATTAGTGAATGAAATGGTGTTAGAAAAACATGATTTTTGAAATAAAAAATCAGATTTTTATATATAAGACTGCTGCTCAAACGGCGGCCTAAAGCCAAGCAAGCAGTGAAATCTCTGAAATGGGTGCTCGAGATGCACCGCTAGCGCCAGGCAAGCGCCAATCAACAAGTGCAACCTTCCGTGAAACAAGATGATTTGGGTTGTATCTTTTCGGTTGCAACTCATCAACTCCTATAAATTGGACTCTTGCTATTTTATGCAATCAAAGCATATCATTTAACATCTTTTTCTTGCCAAAATTCTGCATCAAAATCTTGTTTCTTTTTCATTCTAAAAAAATTGCATACCATATAGATTAAAATCCGTTTAGTGAGTTTTGTCCATAAAACAATATGAAATGAATTCAAATATAAAATGAATGATTCCATGTTATAGAATCACTATTGATTATGTGCTTTAATCACTATAATACACAGATTGATTACCCGTGAACATAAATTGGAATATTATTTTATCGACTCACTCAACAAGTTGATGGTATCATGCATTTTCCTAATTAAAATGTTGCAATGGAACATATTTACCAAACTCATGATACATAAAAAATCTGTCTTAAATTTTATTCACGCAATATCTTCATATCTATTGCACATTTACTTTAATATGCACACAAGAAATTCATCTTAAGATTTGTTGGAAATATTACACCGATAATGTGCATATTATATTCATATTAAACGTGTGCCATTTTATGCTCATGAAATCAAAATAAAATTCGACTTACCGAAATAGTTGTGAAGACAAAGTAATGATTTATCGAATTCGAATTCATGAATATGGATTCATAAATTGATCACAGCCATGGTGGTTCCATTCTCCATTCTAGAATTATCGTGATTGTAGGAAAATATTGTTTTTCCATTTGAAGGGGTTGGAGAAGAAACCAGAAACAAATAATCATAATCATTAAAGAAGAATCAAAATACCTAAAGACGATAATTATATCGTTGTCCTCGAACAATATTTTCCTCCTCTCGGATTGAAATTTGGTGCTTGAAGTTTTTTTTTTTTTTTTTTTTTAAATTGTTTTTTAGATTTATCAAACATTGTAATAAAAAAACACTTAAACACTTAGTGTTTTCTACCAAAACTTCAAGAACATAAGGAAGAATTTGAATATGAATGAAAATAATTTTATCTTTTCTGTTTTCGAATGGAATGTAATTTCAAATGATTTCAATAATGATTTTTCCAATGTAGTTTGTGTTGATCATGAGACATCTATATATAGGTCGCATAGAAGACTCAACTGCGAGGCCTGAAAACCTACATGTATACATGCGACCGCATCCATCTTGGACTATGCGGTCGCATAGTGCAAACTTTTGGTTTCCAAATCCATTTTTCATTTCAAATCCCTTTTTATTGATTTTGAACAATAATTTCAACACATTATGCTCCTATTTAGATAGCCATGCTTGACTGCCATAAACTATACGAGTGGCCCATATATTGATTGCACATTAGAGATGCCATCGCTCTGTACACGTATTTAATGTGATATCCTACTTAAAATCTTCTAATTGTGCTCATTACGAGTTTGCGTGACTTGTATATCGATGGATGGGCTTGAGGCCCTATGTGTATAGGTGAAACACTTTGGTGCTTTTTTGACTTATAGCTCAGTCCATGTATTCCGTGTATAACATATCTAGCTATTGTCCATGAATAAAGATAATTGGTCAGGGCCACATGGGCCTGGCTATCTAGAGGGCCATGTGGTGCCCCCTATTGGCTGGGATAACACCTCGATGCTTTTTTGACTTATAGCTCAGTACATATATTCCGTGTATAATATATCTAGCTATTGACCATGGGTAAAGATAATTGGCCAGGGCCACATGGGCCATGGACATCCGGGGGGCCATGTGGCTCCCCTATTGGCTGGGATAATACCTTGGTGCTTTTTTTTACTTATAGCTCAATCCATATCTTCCGTGTATAACATATCTAGTTATTGACCATGAGTAAAGATAATTGACAAGTGCCACATGGCCATATGAGAGGCCATGTGGTGCTCCCTATGGCGGGGATCCCCCCCTCCCCCTCCCCCTCCCCGGGATGTCATAGGCCCTGGCCAAGTAGCTGGTTTTATTGACCATGAATCTTAATAGTAATTGCTTCTAAGAACAAAAAGCTATAAACTTTCAAACCATGATAGAACTTTCGTTGTCGATCACCATTGTTAGGTGCCTGAATAAGATTTTGTACTTAATACATCTAGTTGGTTTTTACTCAATTTGTAAGAGAAAATAATGGGTAACATTCACAAAAAGTTTCATACTTTCATCAAAAGAACACAAAAAAAAAATTAATAAAGAAAGAAATTGCAACAATATCAATGGGGGATTTGGTTAAAGAACCTAGTCAACAATAATCTTTGGTAAAATAGACCATCTCATTTGTCGATCACCATTGTTAGGTGCCTGAATAAGATTTTGTACTTAATACATCTAGTTGGTTTTTACTCAATTTGTAAGAGAAAATAATGGGTAATATTCACAAAAAGTTTCATACTTTCATCAAAAGAACACAAAAAAAAAATTAATAAAGAAAGAAATTGCAACAATATCAATATGCATATATACATATATCACTTGAAGGTTTAAAAATTATACGTATAGAATCTGGAGAAAGCCCACTTGGTATGTGACACATCAATGAGGTAGAATATCTTATCTTTAGAAAGTTGTCATTAACATAAATGCATAGAATTAGAAATCATTCCAACTTCTATAGTATATGTGTCCAAGTAGACCACTCCTACTCGTATGACCACTGCCGTATGCTTCACCATAGATTGCTATGTCATTGAAAATTGGAAGTATTTTTGACGTGTTTATCCAAAATTTAAATAAATATATTTGTCAACTCTCTAGGAGTTTTAAGTTTATATTGTTTATATTGAATATGGGAGATGATGCATAGCAAGAGTCGACGACATTAGCATTTTTGGATCGACTCGACCAACCCAAGGAGGTGGACGGCCAATGCACACACGTACAGGCGGTCATTGAATTTATGTTACTTTCATTGCTTTCAATACCCAATTTAAATGAGTAATGTTATTCATCCCTACTTGGGTTACAAACACAATCTATGTGGCTCTAAATGAAAGGTGAAATTAAATGACTTATTTAATTTCACCTATCATTTAATGTCACATTAACGCTATCTAGATTGTGCTTGTAACCTCAGTAGAGATGAATAACATTACTCAATTTAAATATTGATTACTATATAATAGCAGTAAGTAGGCACCTTATTGGCCTTGTAGATTTTTCTTTTAAAAGACATATTTTCATTTGAGACTTGCATTTTTTTATAGAATTAATAGAAAATTAAAATTTTATTTTTAAATTTTCAATCTGATCTCGATGCTCTAGAAAATAAACGACTTAGCTATCTCGGGTTCTTGTTCTTTCACGCTTTCCATGAGCTGGACAACCAAAAAGGCTTGAAGGTGAATGTATCAATCTCGTCAGTGATTCAATATTGTACCAGACAAATATCTTATGTTGAGCTTTACTTAAAAAAATAAAGAAAATACGAGATACCTACGCAATTACTTGATTGGTCAGAAGTTGCAAACATAACTACATCTTCATTTGTTTCTACCATCTTAAAGTAACAAGAGCTTTCTTACACAGATGAAAATGACTCCCTTCTTATCTGATCTCAGATACTATATATTCTCTTATATTATACGAAGTAATATAACATTTTTAGGCCAATTTTATGAAATAAAAAATGGTTCAAATATCATACAGAAAGATACTAGTTTTTGATACCATGGTGCATATTCTGTGTCAGACTTTTTATAAAAGATAAATCTGATCCACATGTGATGAGAATACGTGTTAAAGACAAGATTTAAATGAATGTAGATGGACTCTCTCTAACGGCTTAAGTTTCAGAGTAAACTAACTGATACGATTGACCAAAAAATAAACGATAAATATTTCACGCATACTGAACATGCTAATGAAATGCTAACTTAATCCTACATGTCATCCATTGTGGTCCAGTTCTGAGTTAACTCTATTTTAAAGTTTGCACTAAGAAGAAAATGAAATTCGACATGTCATCCATTGTGGTCCAGTTCTGAGTTAGTGCTTGTATTTGTCTTTCCCTAAAGAAGCAAAAGCCAGTGAAAAATTGAAGCATTTCGTGCACGTTATGTTGTGTACGCATCTCTCATGTTCTAAGAATCAATACGAAAAAAGTGCTCAAATTTTTAAAAGCAAATACTATACCAACAAACTCTGTTGCATGTCTGGATAAAGAATTAAGGTTCTGATAAATTGACATTCAGCGTACTAAGGCAGTTCCGTATCTCAAAAAGCACATACGAAACCTCATAATTAACAAATAAAATAATTGGATCACGCCTACTTTAATCTTTGATGGCTTGTTTAGCAAACTGAATTTCAACAGTAACAAATAAGGAAGAAAAAAATAAATTAAAAGTATATTCAAATTAGTGCGTGGCCTTTTATGTACCCTACTTGTCATTTAACATTATAAATAGAGCGCACGCATTGAAGCACAGACACGTCTGGTGCACAGTACAAAACCTAGATATAATTCCCAAGCCCAAGGGGAAATGGAGTCGAACCGGAAGAGAAGAGGTTTCATCAAAGCAAAGATTTTCCATCAAACAAAGAAGAAGACTCCGCCGCCAGAACAAGTTTATCCTCAGCAGATGCATCGAATTAAGCAGAAGGATCAGCCCTTGGCCACCTCTGTGGGTTTCATCGTCAACCAAGAACAAGTATTTCCGCAACAGATTCATCAAACAAAGCAGGCTGCAGGCCTCATCGTGAACCAAGAGCAAGTTTTTCCTCAACAGGTGCAGAAAGTTCCGATTGTTGTGCAAGAAAAAGGTCAGGATTCGTATGGAAAGTTGGATAATTTCTATAGCATGGCTGGAGACGAATGCATCGATGCAAAGGCTGCAAGCTATATTTCGAGTGTTCAAGAGAGATTTAGGCTTGAACATGTCAATTCTGAACGTGAAATGTTTATAGACATATATACGAGTAAAGACATGTAGAACTAGTACTAGTGTTGGCTGCATTTATATCATTATTGCTAGCTGAATGAAATTATCGTGTTGTGCTGAATAAGATATTGGTAAATAGTGTAGATATTTGGTGTTCGTATTATTTAAAAAGTTGAAACTTATCTATGTTTTAGCCTTTTAGATTAATTGTGCAGGAAATTCTCTATTGAAACTAACATCAAATTGTGAACATTAAGGTCATGTTGGATATACTGTATTAGACTACATAAAAATTTAGTATAATTATAATGAATATTACGGTGGATAATAATCTTTGAATTTTCTTTCAAAAGAGTATCAATTACTCTCTCTTTTTTGTATCTGCCTAAATTCACCTATGACCTCTGTGTTATGTTATATAGTTCATACTGAAATCACTATCTTTTGAATAAAATATTAAAGAATGCTATCTACCTTAATTCAACAAGGGTGGATGCATGATTGATTAGCCGTATGGGCTTGGATAATTTTTAAGAGAAATTCAACAATAGAAGAAAAATAAAAAGACAAAAAAATGGGCATAGGGACCCTTACCCTTTAATATGCATATTTAATGCAACATGATCGATTGATTTGGTAAGTGTACGAATCTTAACAAGTAATACGAAATTTTTAAATTTAAATATCCAATCTAATTGGTGGAGGAATATTATGATCAAGTGGTTAGGAATTTCCATTTCACTTACGTTATTTAACATTCATCTAATCTAAATTCATTCAAACTCTTTTCATAGGTATGTACAATCGAATTGGCCGATTTTAGCTAATAGTCTTTCCAAGCAAAACTAGCCCTATTCACATGTCCAAATTTATTGTATCTCTATGTAATTCCTACACGTAAAAACATTCAGCAGTAGGAATTTAATCATGATTGCATAGGCTATAATCATTTCTCAATCTCTTATAAAATATGTCACTTATCTCATGAACTAGACAAATAAATCTTCTCTCGGTTGCAATATTGTGCTTAAATCAAACAATTGAATGACAATTAAACACACAATCAAAATTGCAAAAATCAATTGAATTAAATAAACATTAAACCTAAACTATATCATTCTTTCTAGCAACCAATTATTTAGCCAATCACATAATTGAAATCAAATAACAAAATAATTAGAAATATAAGTGGGTTCAATACAAGGAATAAAGGAAAAGAACCAATTATTTAGCCAATCATATAATTGAAATTAAATAACAAAAGTATTAAAAAGCTCAATACAAGGAATAAAGATAAGAATTTATAGAAATTCTTGTTCTTCGTCACCCAGTTCCAAACAATGGATCATCAATCTTCTCTTCCAAGTTTTTATATCTCTTGATCAATTTGTGTTATTCAACCTTCAAATTCCAAAATGAGATACAAATTTTGAGGATTTTATGTATTTGAATGTATAATTATGTCCAAGATTGTATTTCTAGCCTCCCATTTTTAATTGAAAGAAAGATTCCTATTTATAGACCTATATTATGTCTAAAATAAGATACAGAACCATAATTTTAGTCCAATTAGGATATCTCTAATTATTGGAATTTATACTTTCAATTGTGCAATTTGGTTCATGTAACATCTTTTTGTTCGGATTCAATCCTTAGATACTGTGATTGAGGTTCTTCAGCTTCCAAACGTGGCTTCTTAGTCCTCAAATTCCATAATATGTCCAACTTTAATTTCTTTTTATCAATTTTATTCCTTTTTCATCTGTTATTGTCCAATTTCAAATTTTCTCCAAAAATAATCGATAAACAAACATAATTATAATCACCCCCGAAAGCTATTTTTTATGGCTCAGATAAGTATAATATTTAAATTTATCAAACAAACCCAAACTTAAACATTTATTCGTCCTTTGAACCAAGCAAAATAGAAACTTAATTACACTTTCAACAAATACACTCAACTCGATACACGTAATTCCATGTTTCTTCAAAGTGAATGTCTAAATCACAAAATTTAAATAATTTAATGAAATACAAGAATTAACAGTTATTCCTATATACTCTATAAATTTATATTCATCCGTTGCGTGTGTGTGAATCATTCTCAATTTTACAAATAATACTTAAATCAAGTCATGCATTTCAACTTTCAAAGCTTCTTTTCCCAAACAATAATAAATCCCATGCATGTCAATGTAATCACTCATCAATACTATTTCTCTCTAGGTATTTCAATTTCCTTTCCTGATGATGAACTATTGACGTCGAGCAAAATATTGATTATTCTACAGGCTAATTCTACCAACAAATTCACAGGGAAGAACACAAGATTAATGCCGAAAACACAGAGAAAACGTCTCTTAAGTTTGAAGAATTTTATTATATCACGCAATNAGAATTTTATTATATCATGCAATAATCAAAATAAGTCCACAAGCCGGACTTTATAACAAAAATTTGAATTTTAACAAAAATGACAAAATTTCAAAAATCATGTCAAGCGAAAATATGGAATAAAATAAGTAGTCTACGAAAAATCTAGCCCAAATCGGGTTAAAAATCATCTCCTAACATGCAATCGAAATATTATCAAAAATAGTAAAATTTAACTCAAAATGACCATTCGGAAGGGTAAACAACGAAATTTGAGGTTGAAAATGGCATGCAGCTCGGTGCCCACGACGTGCGCGCCGAATGACCAAAACACGACTCAATTACCAAAGTTACGCGATCACACTTGCCATCCTTGCGTCGATCTGCTAACTCGTGATACTTTAGAGCCATTAACGTGTTATCTGACAACGCATCATCTGACTCGGACTCTCCTGCATCAACTATACACGTAATATTGACATTATTTTCATCACTAACTCAACCTTCCAAACTTTCAATTTCCTTCTAACTCTGGATTACAGAATGATGACGAGTAGACATGTTGTTTCAAATTTGAAGTTTTTATGTAATAATTTAATTTATTAAAACTTTAATGCATTTTGAAATTTTAATTATTTAGTCATTTTGAAAATAATAATTATTAATTAGCAGGTTGCATAAATTTCTAGCTATTTTATATTTAAAAAAATAATGAATTAAGATTTACCAACATAATTTCCATCGGTGAAAAGTATATTTCGTATTAGAAAAAGATTTTAGCAACGGATAGTTTGTTGGTAAAATATAATATTTTTGGCATGATGATATTTTCTACCAAGGAATTTTCTTTGGTTTTGAAGTCGTATTAGAAAATAATTTTAGCAACGGATGCTCTGTTGGTAATGCCTATAGTTTTACTAATGGAATTTCTATTGGTAACAAAGACCTTTTATCAACGGCAATTCAATGTAAAGATAGATTTTTACCATCGGAAAGTCTGTTGGCAATGGTAATATGTTTACCAACCAAAATTTCATTGGTAAAAGGTTTACACTTTACCAACGGCACTATCCGTTGGTAACTATTAGCCACCCTCAAATTAGCAACATATTTGTGGTTGTTAATTTTCTATTGTTGAAAAGTAATAGCAACAGATGTCATGACTTCAGGAACGGAAAATTCATGCCCAAAGCCAC